AGTGTATCCCTGTCTTTCATTCCTAAAGACACATCAAAGAGTTCATTCTAAAGAAATTTCTCCCAGTATCAAAACTGTGACAAAGTGTTTTATCACCTGTCTTTCCTTAAGATTTATCATAGATTCCATTCTGTAAAGAACCTCTACACATGTGACAACTGTGGCAAAGTGTTTTCCTGTCATTTGTTGCTTAAGCGACATCAAATAATTCATTCTGGAGAGAAACTCTACAAGTGTGAAGAATGAGACAAAGCCTTTTACCTTCCTTCATTCCTTAAGCAGCATCTAAATATCCATTCTGGAAAGAAACCCTACATGTGTGTGAAGAGTGTGGCAAAGTATTTTTTATACTTCATCGCTTAAACAACATCAAAGAATTCATTCTGTAGCGAACCCCTACAAATGTGAAAAGTGTGGCAAATGTTTTTCCTGTTCCTCATACAAGCGTGGGAAACCTGGTCTCCTTACTCAACACAAAGTAGTTCATACTGGAGAAGAACCTTACAAATGTGAAGAGTGTGGCAAAATGTATTATTCCTCCCCAGCCCTTAAGAAACATCAAAGAATTCATTCTGGATAGAAGAAACAGAGCATGTGGAAACAGGCAGAGCCTTTGGAAAGGTTGCCCTGAACAAATGAATCCACAGTGGGGAGAAGCTGTGCCCATGCATAGGTGAGGGGTGTAGAGAGTGCTTCACCACAAGTCAACACTGTGTGCCATCAGCTAAGCTCTTACTGGACAGAGTCAGCGCAAAATAGAAGGGGATGACAAGACTTCTAAAGGTTTTTATAATGTAAATATCACAAAAGCATCCACTCTGAGCACCACAGCTGCAAATACAGGGATTGTGTCAAAGTCTTTATTATTCAATCTCAGCTAATTCCCACTTGAGATAAACCTTATACACGCGCTCCCACTTGAGATAAACCTTATACACGCATGTGCGCGTGTACACACACACACACACACACACACACACACACGCACGCACACACGCACGCACGCACATGCACACACATTATGACCAGGCATTTAGCTTTATCTTGCCTATATAAGCATCAGAGTATTCATACCAGTAATGAGCCCTACAAAAGCAAACAATGGGATCAATTCTTTCCTTGTTTTTCATACTGTAAATAAACATCCTCAGAGACTTCAAATAGGAGAGAAACTCTACAGAAATAATATGGTAAATGCTTAAAGAATAATATATGTATTACATTTGTGGCAAAGACTGCAAATGGAGAAATGGAGATGTGCTAGTTAGATTCAGCTGTCACACACACTCAGCCCAACATTATCTAATTAGATACCTATTAGATATTTATTTTCCTATTCAGAAAATGTAGTATAAAATACTGTTGTAAATCCTTGAAATGTATTATGATATCATGTTATCCACAGTGTAATTGCTATGCAGCAAATCTTTTAAATCTTCCAAATCTAAAAATTCTAATCGTAAGATAAATATATGTATTTCTGTGTCAGTTTAATCTCACACAATCAGCAGATATCCAAGTTTGACTAATATCATTGTTTGAATGATAATGCCTCCATGGGCTCTGGTATTTTAATGCTTAGTTCCTGGTTGCTGGTGCCTTGGGTAGCTTTATGAGGTGTGACTTGCTGGAGGAAGTAACTGGGAGTAGGCTTTCAGAGGGAAATATCCTACCATTGCTAGTTTGTTCCTTTGCTTTACGGTTTGCCTTCACCATGCTCCAGTACCATACCTGCTGCTTGCTGCCTGTCATACATCTCTGTGATGGACTCTAATCCCTCTACTGCCATAAGCTCAAGTACACTCATTCTTGCCTCAGTCAGGGTATTTTAAGATTTATTTCTTTTAATTTATGTTGTATGAATATTGTACCCACATGTACATGAATGAACCATGTGTGTACCTGGTACCTGCAGAGGGAAGAAGACAATGTCAGATCCCCTGGAACCAGAATTATGGACAGTTGTAAGTCACCATGTGGGTGCTGGAAATAGAACCTATGTTCTCTGCAAGAATACGTGTCCTTAACTTCTGAGAAGTCTCTACAGCCTTTGGTCATGATATTTTATCACAGCAACAGAAAGGTAACTCATAGAGATTCTTTATGCTTTTTATGTATATCTGGTCATACATTTTATTTCTGGTTAATGGGCTTGTTTGTTTCAGCATTATGTCCTTAAGTATTTATTTCTATTATTATCAATGCTACAATTTCCTTAGCCATTTAACTTCAGAATTTCTGAATTTCACTAAAGTGAATATGACTGTAGAAATGTAGTTTCTTACCTGCCTATAAAATTATAGTAGTCTACATATTAAAGATAAGCATTATAAATTCAAAGGATGTCGTTCAGCTTTCATCTCAACTTTCACTCATCAGATACAAAACTATATAAAGAATGTGGCAAGACCTTTGATTGGAATTCACTCCTTATTCAACACTAGGTAATTCATTCAAGAGAAATCTTACAAGTGTGAAGAATGAATGTAGTTTGACCTTTAGAGCTTGCTCAACACTTTACACCAGAAAAGTCATTCTGGATGGGAAAACAATGTGAAGAATGTGCTAGAGTTTGTTTGTTTTTCTATCCTTCATTACTGGAGAGAACCTTCATTCTGGAGAGAACCCCTACAGGTGTGAAGAATGTGGCAACACATTTTGAATACCCTGAAACCTTAAGCAACATCAAGGAATTCATTCTGGTGAGAAACCCGGACTGCTGAGGGCCACTCCTCATCGTTCCTGTCTTGTACTCACAGCAAGCTTAATGTGAAGACACAAGGTGAGTCTGGTCCCACATCATCTCCAGGGAGCCATCTCCTTTGTCTTCCCTGAGGTGCCACAGAAGCAGGTATACAAAGCCCTCAGCATCTGAGCATGAGCACTTCAGAGACCTTCTCTCTTGCACCGATTCTGCCTTCACAGGAAGATGACATCTCTCTGTAATCTCTGTAATCTTCATGATATACAGACTCACTGCAGGGGTGGGGGTGGGCAATCACTGAAACTGGCTAAGTTTTGGTATGTGTGGGGCTGGAGAATGGCTCAGTCACCAGAGGTTAGGCTCACAACCCAAAACATACATGTTGATATAAGTGAGCATCAGTACTTACATCTCTCCAGTTTGGGGGCTGAGGGTGGGGGATGCAAGCCATTGTCACCCAGGCATTTCCTGCCATAATGAACACTGTCTTCAAATTGTAAGATTAAATAAAACCCTTCCTTACTGGTCTTGTCAGATACTTTATGAAAGCAACGAAAGCTTACAAATAGAAAGTCATGATACCCTGGTATGGTATTGCTGGTTCATAACTCAATGGTTAAAGATTAGAAGCAGAGATTTCAGGAATTCAAGATTTTCACCTACACAGAATTTAAGCTCCACTGGAGCTGCATGAAAGTCTACCTTAAGTACAAAAATTGTCAGGTTCAGGCTGGAGAGAAGGCTCAGCAGTGAAAGGCTAGGCTCACAACCAAAAAAATGGTCAGGTTCTTCCTAGTTAAGATCCATCTGCTATATCATTTAATATTTTCTATGGTAGATTTTCCAGTCTAAATCTACATCAAATGTGACTTAGATCTTGGGAGATATGTCACCTACTTCTGTGTAAACATGAGTAGTATTGCAAAGTGAAAATGTCTGCTGGATAAACGATCACCTCAGAGAGTAGTTGTTGGGGTGATGGAGATGGGTATTATCTGGAGAAGCCACACTCTTGTAAAATGCAAAGCAAATAGTATTTGGTATGTATTTTCATTTTTAAGGGCCAGTAAGAGAACACAGATAATTTCTAGACCTTGCAACTTCTAACTTACACTATCTTCTCCAAACTCAATTCATGTTTACCACTGGGGCTGTATTATTCATTCTTCTGTATCTAATACTATAGAAATATCAGCATTTGTGTTACCAAATAGTTATTAAACTCATGATTGATCATTGCAGGGAAGAAGATGTGTGTTTCTTATGGTGATTTAAAAAAAATCTATGATGTTTTCCCGCCACTGTCTCAGACAAAATATAGCTTCCGTGTGAATTAGTGTTTACCTCGTGAGTATTGACTCTTCCTTCTATAGAGGTTTGTACTTTGGTCTTGGGTATGACCAGTACAGAACTAAATATTCTTAGAAGACTTTGGAGGTCCCAATGGTGGAAATCTAGCTTTATTCTGGTCAGTCCATTTCCCTATTACAATGGGCATATTTCTGATATCTTTCTATTCAAGAAAGAATCATCTGCCCGAGAGGTGAACTTTTAACTTTGTTCTATGGACTTTATTAAATCCCCTGTTTTCCTTGACCCATGAACTGCACTGTATGGATTGCAAGGTTCACAATAAGACACCCAGCACTGTAGCACATGGGGACAGGGTTGTTTGTTGTAGTGGCTGGCGTGTTTATACCCAAGGGCTGCTTCATCCCAGATCCCAGGCAAGGGCTTTACCTCTCAGATGCTCCCTAGACCTTTCTGTGCTCTGAGACAGGCTCTCTATTATTTTGCCCAGGTTTGACTTTGATTTGGAGTCTTTTACAAGCTCCTAGGCAGCCGCGACAACGGGGCAGGGGCGGGACACACAGTCTGGTTTAAAATCATCTTAATGATATAGGGATCATTGATGTATATTTTTGGCTGAGTTATTTTAAAGTAGAATGGAGTCAATGTTAACTTCACACATGGGAGTAAGACTCCATAATAAGTAGACTTTAAGTTTTGAATCGCCACGTACTGGCCAGACGTAAGTTGCAAACCCAACAAACACTATTGTCAAAGGCTCGACTCACACTAACATCTCCCGCAGTGAATCCAGGATTTAAAAACAAAAACAAAAACAAAACAGCGTGGCCATCAGTGACAGGGCTTCTCATTTCCTTCTCCCTCTCTTTGGAAGGGGAAAGAAAAGCAAGAGGCACGCAAACCCCAGCCTGCGTAAACCCCAGCCTGCGTTCCGGGCGCCTAAGCCTCCGCACAGACTTGTGGGAAACGTAGTCTTCCGCCGTCCCGCTGCGCCAGGAGCCATTGTGGCAAGGGCACTTCCGCATTGCGTCTGCACCAGCGCGTCTCCTCGCAAAGTTGGGTGATCCTCGGGTCCCGCTCAGCGCTCGGCTTGCGTCTCCGACATGGAGGTTGGTCCGGGATGCCTCGCACCTCTGCAGGTCGGAGCGACCGAGCGGGGTGGGCGGGCCCTGGCTCGGAGTGAGCGCGGGACGGGAGCACCGACCTAGGCTGGGCCACAGCGCCCGGACGCCCGCTGGGGCCGGGGCTGGGACCCGTGCCGGGGCTGGGGAGGGGGCGTGCGAGTGGCGCTGGAAGCGAACGCTGTGCAAGCAGGGCCGGCCGCCTGGGTCCACCGTGAGCTTCTGTTATAATGGCTGGTTCGGCAGGGGAGGAATTAGTGTGGAAGACCCAGGGTTGCAAAGGCAGGGCGGGTCGGCTAAGAGCCTGCCTGCATCTGGAGGTGCTGGTGGGCGCTCTCATCCGGATGAGCCAAGGCCCGGTTTTATCACTAGCTAGACCCAGGCTTACCCGGAGGTTGTCAGTTTTCTCAGGACCCTGGAGCAAATGGAGGGCTGGCCCCGCCTGCACCTTGTAGTCGGCCCAGTATTGCTAGAGATGATAGAAGTTCACCAAGTTACTAGTTTCCAAGGAGGGAGATTTTTTTTGCGAAAGAGAAAATGTTAATCCAGTTGTTTTTGGAATACACTGTTAATTTAGGAACTGCTACTTTGCATAGAAATCCTTCATGATCACCACTGTGACCTGACCCCTGAGACTGACACTCCCCATGCAGAGCCATAATAATCCCCTAAAGGGAGCGATTCGAGTTTTGCAAAACAAATTACTGATCCTACACTTGTGGAATGAAAAATACCAAAGGATAATAAATAGTACCTCATCCAATTCCACCGGTATTATGGGGTCATTGGCTTGGACTCCTTTTCAGAACTATGGGACGAGTTAATGTGAGGGTTTAAGTTTGTCTAGGGATTGCTAGCAAAGGGTCATAGTGCTTGAGTTTCTCTGGGAAAGAGAAATCTTCCGGGATACACAACCAGTTGTTGACTTTGCTCTCTAATCACTCGCTTTTTTTTTTTTTTTTTTTTTTTTTTCCTGTCGTCGTCCATTGTTTAGTGTCTAATCTCTGAAATTGACTGTCATTGAATGTGGTATCTGGGTTCCATGCTTCTCCCTAAGCAGTTCTTCTGGGAGGGTTTGCCCAAGTATTTGTACTGTCAAAAAGTAAAATATGGATTTGAAGAACTGTGGCTCACTCATGGTCCTGCAACCTTTACACAATAGGTTCCCCGCCCTATTTTTGTGCTGTTTCCTATTTTGTCACACTTTAATAAGACCAAGTGTGTATATTAGAGAAACTGGCTTATGGCATTAAAGTCTACTCAAATAAAGCATGGTATATTTTAGCCAGGCATTGGTGGCACATACCTTTAATCCCAGCACTTGGGAGGGCAAATGGATCCCTGAGTTTGAGACCACCCTGGTTTAGAGAGAGTTCCAGGACAGCCAGGCCTGTCTCAGAAAACTTAAAAAAAAAAAAGAAAGAAAGAAAGAAAGAAAGAAAGAAAGAGACAAGGTACCTTTTAAAAAACAAATTTCATTAAGATTTTCTATTTAACTTAAAGTAATAAATGAATGTGAAGCTCCACAGTGTCCATTCCAAAAGGCTGTATAGAAGTTCACGGAGGTGTAACAGCTTTGGTTCTGGTTAATCAGCGTGTGATGTTTTATATGAAAGGTGTGGTCTTTAAATCATCTTATCTTACATGCCAGAATTCTCTGTGGATTTTGTAACTATAATTTACAGATGCTTCCTAGATAATGTCACTGATCTGTAGGAAGATAACTCTGTTTTCCCTGCCTTGTGCATCAAAGCTGTTTTCTTACTGTGTAAAGGCGGTGCAGAAGCATGCTCATTATAACTTATAAATCCCCCACGCATGCACCTGATTGAAGCATATTCTTTAATGCCATGAACATTCCATCTGCATCTGGAAGGTGGAAGCAGACAATCGGGTACAAGGTTACCCTCTGCTTAGACAGTTTAAGGTCAGCCTAGCCTAAATGAGCCTTGTCACAAATTATTTTACAACAATAACTTATGATTGAACTAAATATGTTGTCATCTGACTTAGTAACAACAACCAGACAGAAATCCATCCAATTGACATTGTCTGATTTTCGTGTGGTTGAGAAGGTCTGTTGACTCAGTTTGACATGAAATTTAATACTTTATAACATACTTTTATTAAAACCATTAAATTTTGGAAATTAGGCACTTGTTTTTATTTACTGTGTGAGGAAAAAACTGTCTCTTTGGTCTTGCTTATTTGCAGAACGTATTCAAAACTTTTGTTATTAATTTTTGTTAGTTTCTGTTGTGACCTCATGGTCCTGAATTCTTCCATGCTGTGCTCCTTTCCATCCGAGCTGAGATTTAGGTAATTTTCCCATTTTCCACTCTGCAGTTGTGACTGATTCGGCCCTGCATGGCTTACATTCCTCTCTCTATGCAGCTTGAATTGCTTGCCCAGTTTACATAACAGGTTCAACTGCATGCTACATGTGTCTTTGTAGTTAGCCAAGACAAAACACCAGCTCTGCTTGTGGACAGTGACAGCCACATCCTCCATGGTCCTTCACACCCAACGAGTAAACTGCTAATGTGGGGATTTCTTCCTCTTCTCAGGAAGGAGTCTGGTCTCCCAGGGTGTACATTCCTGCCCTTTTCCTTACAGGCTCTTGTATATGTATATACTAATGTGTTGTGTAAATGATGATATGGGAGAAAGAGTTACTAAGGAATTGCTCATTTTGGTAACTCATATAGTGACATTGTATTAGACATGTGCTTGGAAAACTCCAGAAGGAAAGCTTTCAGGATAATGATGTCCATTTTCTGATCTATGTGACATATATTGGAAAGAATTTACAGCAGTTATTTGTGTAGATTTGAATAGGAGACAGAAACGTATGCAAGGAATGAAAATGAAAAACACAGATTTTCATCATTGTCTCTTCTGTTTATAAACATTTCTGTCCTTGAGTCCATCCATAGTTGTTTTCAAATGCAGTGACATATTTTGGGTTGAAAAATAAAACTATGTGTCAGATTGACTGGCAGAGTCTTTCAAATACCTGCAATTATTATCTTCTTTCAGGTAGCTACATACAAATAAATAAAATGAATGAGCGTATGAACCCCAACTATTTACAGGATGGACTGCACTTAATATTTCATTAGGAACAAGGAGTAACATTGTACTGAATATTTAAAATTACTGTTACCTTTGCACATTGAACATAGGAACAAATCGTGTACTACTTCGTTAGAAACTAATATGTTGTCTAAATATGCATTCCATGTTTCAAATAAAGACATTAGCTATGGTCTTCCATCCCATTTTCAGTGTTCCAAATAATACACTCTGTCTGTGTATTGCAAAATTAATTAACAAGAATTAATGATACCTATATGCCAGATGCTTGTGGGTCAAAAGCTGGACCAGAGACCTGTGGACTACTTTATCATACTCCTGGTGTGTTTTTAAGGTAGCATGTTCTCTAATACATAGACATACTATGTCCAAAAATTAAATCACTGGTAGCTAGAAGTTAATTGGGAATCCAGCCCTCTCTTTGCATTTAGCTTTGACTTCCCTATAAGCTCCTAGTACTGAAGATTGCTAGGTTTCTATGTCAAAATATCTCTGAGGGACAGACACATAGCACACGCATGTGCGTGCGTGCGCACACATACACACACAACGATATGCAAGAGTTCTTAATGTCTTCTGCACCTCTATTCTGTTGATCTAGGCTTGTGTCTAGGAGCAGCCTCCATTCAAAAGAAGGAAAGTTAAACTTCTGTCTGATAGCGGTCTCAGGGGTAGAGAACAGTGGAGGATGAGTTTCTCATCTCTTGAGAAGATGCTTTCAACAGAGTTTCGTTTTTTTGTTTGTTTGTTTGTTTGTTTTTCCTTAAGAAAGGACTGGATCAGGTGGCATACACCTTTAATACCAGGCCTGGGGAGGTAAAGGCAGGCAGATCTCTGCGAGTTTAAGGCCAGCCTCATCTACATAATGAGTTCCAGGCCATGGAGAACTACATAGTGAGACCTTGTCTCCAAAGGAAAGAAAAGAAAAAGATTTGCTTTTCAATAAACCGGTTATCTTTCATCATTGTGTTTGTGACTTAGGGCTCTCTTGGCCTCCTCATTGCTGGTTCTCTCTGCTGTTTTGAATGACTGTTTCCCCTTGTATAGGTTTCTCGTGGCTGCAGCTCCCCAAAAAGGGGACAACCTTTTTGTTTTGTGGCCTTCTCAGTTCTCCTGGTCTCTTAGGGAGCAGCAAAGAAGCTTTGTTTATGTATTCATGCAGTTCTTTTTCCATCCATCATGTGTGAGGTATCTGTCATCCCTCAGCATCCCCTGCTTTTGTTTCTGCTGAGATAACTTAGTGAGGACTTTACAGAAGCGCCTTCTGGGTGAGGAAGCCACCGTTCCCCTTTCCTGACAGAATGCTTTCTTACACTCACAGAGATCTGCTTGCCTCTGCCTCTCCAGTGCTGGCATTAAAGGTGTCCATCACCACACCTGGGCATTTTAAATTTAAAAATTAAGCATTTGCTAGGTGGTGACACACGCCTTTAATCCCAGCACTTGGGAGGCAGAGGCAGGAGGATCTCTGTGAGTTCAAAACAGAAGTAGTTCCAGGATGGCTAGGGCTGTTACATATCAAAACCCAGTCTCAAAAACAACAACAACAAAGAAAACTTAAGTGTTTGAGGACATGGCCAGTCTAAAACTTATATAGTTACAAAATACCCCCTTTAACATGCAAATCTCTGATTTTCTATTATTTAGCCATAGAAAGAAAAAATAATTTACAGCTGTACATTTGAAAACTTCATGCAAAGATGAAATGGAATACAACACTAAAATGTAAAAAAAAAAAATTAAAAATAAGGGAAAATAGTAATTAGAATAACAAATTATAACTCTTGAATTTAGCATATTAAGCTAATATCATAATAAGTTCAACAGCAGCTTATGAATATGGTAAATAAATGAATACATGTTTGATAAAGATAAACACAAAGTAGGAAAGGGAAAAATGAAAGATGTTAGTGATATCTAATTATTTTAAATATTAACAAAGTGTTATTGTTATACTTCCTAAGAATGTATTCATGAGCATAGGATGCCTATTGGTATCTATGTTATTGATTTTAATTAATATAACCTATTATTCATTTGTCTTTGTCTCAGGAAATGCTCTCCTTCAGGGACGTGGCCATTGATTTCTCTGCAGAGGAGTGGGAATGCCTAGGCCCCTCCCAGTGGAATCTGTACAGGGATGTGATGCTGGAGAATTACAGCAACCTTGTGTTCCTGGGTGAGGATTGTCTATAGTAAATTCTATTTTTGTGTCTGTATGAGTGTTTTTTGGGTTTTTTTGTTTGTTTGTTTGTTTGTTTTTTGAGCCAGGGTCTCTCTCTGTAGTCCTGGCATCCTGGAGCTCTGTGAGTACCAGACTGGCCTCTAACTCAGAGATTCCCCCACTGGTATAAATGCCAGTGGTTCATATTGAATTCTTAATTCATGGTCAACATTAAATTCCTTTTATAAAACATCTTGATTGACATGTAAAATAAGATTGTTTCTAATTTAAATGTAAAAAGTCATTAAAAAAAATCTCAAGTTAGCTTGTACTTTCCAACAATGAGGGTCATGGACCTGCATCTAAGGAAGAATTAGGGAGATTATTAATGTAACTAAGACAATTTATTTTTTTATTTCTTCTTGTTTTTTAACTTGACTGTGTCCTAAAGTATCCTTTACTCTAGTGGTGATGATAGAAATTCATAAACATGAGGCAGACCCTCAAGTTTTAATTTTTTTTTTCAAATGAAGGAAATGAAGCTGAGTATATCCTTTGTTTTCCCTAAAGCACAGTCCTGGAATAAACATGTTATTTCCCAGGTGAATAACACACAAACCATATTTTCTTTTCTCAAACAGGTCTTGCTTTCTCTAAGCCATACCTGGTCACGTTTTTAGAGCAAAGACAAGAGCCTTCAGATGTGAAGAGACAAGATGCTGCCACCATGCACCCAGGTGTGTAGGAGTGAGGGGACAGAGGACAGAGTAGGCTTTCCAACAGAAAGCCAGGCTTCACTGTGTGCACTGAGATGTTACGTTGTAATGGAAATCAATTTTTAGGTGTCTCCATCCATCCATCCATCCATCCATCCATCCATCCATCCATCCATCCACCATATGATACTCCAAGTGTCTACACTTGGTTGCTGAGAGTCTGCATTGCAACAGACATTAAACTGTTTCCTACACCTATGAAATTTTTACATGTTTAAAGACATGAAGCCATTAGAAAACAGTATAATCACAAATAAATTTCTTTCACATCACTTACATGTATGGTAATTTAAATCTTTATAATTGCTATGAATGATTGTAATGTATTCTCTTTGTGAATACATTGTGGGTATTTTTTCAAAGATTACAACCTTACATGTCTAGAATAATGTTTTTAAAAGCTTATCAGTTGTTTTTCAGAATTTAATAGACTTAAGGTTCTTTTTATTATTTTACTACTTTATTTTCTGTATTATTGAAGTCTGGATTGTTGAAAATCATTTGTTTACATGTAAATTATATGTTTTTTGTGGATACAGTGTACAATACTAAACACTTTAGGACAGTGTAAGATTAAAAAGAAAATCAGTGAGCTTTGTTTCTGTGAGCATCAGAACTGTGTGTTTGCACATGACTCTCATGTTTTTGTGCCTTCTACATCATCTCTTCACTGGTTATTATAAGATTGTGTTACCTTGTAAATGAATATTCTTAGAAACTGGGCTAATTTTGCCAATTAGCCTTTGACTGATATGTGCATCTAGCAGGTTCTATCATTATAGGTAAACTTGAGGATTTTTTTTTCTTTTCATAATTTGATTCTTTCAGATACTTATTTTCTTGTGAAAAATACAACATATAGCTTCCTGACTGAACGCCCTGAAATTTCATACTTAGTATTATGGAGAATCGCAGTATGTATTTTGTGCCTTCCAAATTAAAACTATATTTAGGATATAAGTTATGTATTTCTACATTCTTCCAACCTTAGATAATCACTGTTATTGTAATGTTTTCCACATTTAGCTATTTATATTTGTCATCTATGTCTGGTCATATAATTTATATATTTTTAATGGGCTCATTCTGTTAACATAATACCCTTAAGAGTTTCCATTATTATTGACAGTACATCTTTCCTATTTAACTGTTAATAGTATTCAATGATTTTTGTATTCTATTTGGTCTTCCTCTTATTTCAGTGGGAATATATATTGTTTCCATTACTGCAGTTTCTAACTTACAGTGCAATGGAAATTTGTAATTTCTCATTTACCTATAAAAATGTAAATAAAGGTCTCTATATTAAAGGTAAGCATTGTAAATATAAGAATGTTACTCAGTTTTTATTCATATCTCAACTTTTACTCACCAGATATAAAACCATATAAATGTAAGGAATGTGGCAAAGCCTGTGATTGGAACTCACTCCCTGAAAACCAGAGAATTCATCCAGAAGAGAAAGCCTACATGTGTGAAGAATGTGGTAAGACTTCTGTTCCTTGTTCAGTACTTTCTGAACAGCAGATAATTGATACAAGAGAGAAAGCCTTCAAGTGTGAAGAATGTGGCCAAGTCATTTGCACTTGCTCAGGGCATTCTAGCTACCAGAAAATTTGCATTGGAGAGAACCCATACAAGTGTGAAGAATGTGGAAAAGTGTTTTCCACTCATTCATGTCTTACTCAGCACGAGGTAGAACACACTGAACAGAAATTCTATAGCTGCGAAGAATGTGGGAAACTGTTTCATTGTCCTTCTCACCTCACAGAACATCAAAGTGTTCATTCCCAAGAAAATTCCTTTAAGATTGAAGTATGTAGTGAGGTCTTTTGTTCTCCTGTAGAACTTTCTCAAGACCAAACATTTTGTACTGAAGAGAAGCCCTACAAGTATGAAGAATGTGTTAAGGCCTTCAGTGCATGCTCAGTGCTTTCTGAACACCCAGGAGTTCATCCAGGAGATGAAGCCTACAAGTGTGAAGAGTGTGGCAATGCCTTTTGTGCTCTCCATTCAGTATCTAAACACCTGAAGATTCATTGTGAAGTGAAATCCTATAAGTGTGAAGAGTGTGGGAAAGCCTTTCCTAGTCATCTTTCTCTGATTCAGCACAAGATAGGTCATACTAGAGAGAAACCTTACCAATGTGAGGAATGTGGCAAAATGTTTTACTGTTCTTCAAACCTTAAGCAACATCAAATAACTCATTCTCAAGAGAAACCCTACAAGTGCGAAGTATGTGGCAAGGTCTTTAGAACTTGCTGGCAACTTTCTAAACACCTGAGAATCCACTCTGGAGAGAAACCATACAAGTGTGAAGAATGTGGCAAAGCCTTTTATACTCTCTCATACCTTACACAGCACAAGTTAGGTCACACCGGGGAGAAACCTTACAAATGTGAGGAGTGTGGCAAAACCTTTTACTATCCTTCAGTCCTTAAGGAACACCTAGCAATCCATTCTGGACAGAAACCATACAGGTGTGAAGAATGTGGCAAGGACTTCTGCACTCGCTCAGGACGTTCCAGACACCAGCGAATTCATACTGGAGAGAAACCTTACAAGTGTGAGCAATGTGGGAAGGCCTTCTCTACTCATTCATACCTTTCTCATCACAAGATAGTTCACACTGGCCATAAACCCTACAAGTGTGAGGAATGTGGCAAAAAGTTTTACTACCCTTCTCGCCTTAAGGAGCATCAAAGGATTCATTCTCAAGAGAATCCCTACAAGTGTGAAATATGTGGCAAAGCCTTTTATACTCACTCATACTTTACTCAGCACAAGTTAGGTCACACCGGGGAGAAACCTTACAAATGTGAGGAGTGTGGCAAAACCTTTTACTATCCTTCAATCCTTAGGGAACACCTAGCAATCCATTCTGGAAAGAAACCATACAGGTGTGAAGAATGTGGCAAGGACTTCTGCACTCGCTCAGGACGTTCCAGACACCAAAGAATTCATACTGGAGAGAAGCCCCACAAGTGTGAAGAGTGTGGGAAAGTTTTCTCTACTCATTCATACCTTTCTCAGCACAAGGTAGTTCACTCTGGAGAGAAACCCTACAAGTGTGAAGAATGTGGCAAAAAGTTTTACTACCCTTCTCGCCTTAAGGAGCATCAAAGGGTTCATTCTCAAGAGAATCCCTACAAGTGTGAAATATGTGGCAATGTCTTTTGTACTCCCAAAGGGCTTTCTAAACACCAGAGATTTCATACTGGAGAGAAACCTTACAAGTGTGAAGAATGTGGAAAAATGTTTTACTACCCTTCTCGCCTTAAGGAACATCAAAGGATTCATTCCCAAGAGAATCCCTACAAGTGTGAAATATGTGGCAAAGCCTTTTATACTCACTCATACCTTACACAGCACAAGTTAGGTCACACCGGGGAGAAACCTTACAAATGTGAGGAGTGTGGCAAAACCTTTTACTATCCTTCAATTCTTAAGGAACACCTAGCAGTTCATTCTGGAAAGAAACCGTACAGGTGTGAAGAATGTGGCAAGGACTTCTGCACTCGCTCAGGACGTTCCAGACACCAGCGAATTCATACTGGAGAGAAACCTTACAAGTGTGAGCAATGTGGGAAGGCCTTCTCTACTCATTCATACCTTTCTCAGCACAAGGTAGTTCACTCTGGAGAGAAACCCTACAAGTGTGAGGAATGTGGCAAAATGTTTTACTACCCTTCTCGCCTTAAGGAACATCAAAGGGTTCATTCTCAAGAGAGTCCTTACAAGTGTGAAGTGTGTGGCAAAGTCTTTAGCGCTCACTTAGAACTTGCTGCACATCTGAGTATTCATTCTGGATAAAACCCTGCAGGTGTGAAGGATATGGAAAAGGCTTTAACTTATCCATCCTTACCTTGGGACAAATTCTTGGAGAGGAATCTTACTCATGTGAGGAATGTAGCAAAATGTGTTATGTTCTCCAAACCTTAAGGAACACCAGCTAACTCTTGCTGGAGGGAAATCACAAGTGTGAGGACTGGAGGAAAGTCTTTTGTACTCAGAATTTTCTGAAAAAGTCCACAAATATGGAAAAACTTCTGCTAAACTTTTTAACCTTACCCAGCACAAGCCTATTCATGGGAAAATGCTGGAAAAGTTTTTACTCTTCAATCCTTAAAAGATCACAGAGTTCATTTGCAAGAGAGACCCTGTAAGTATGAGGGTTATCAAAGCCTTTACATATCTTCAGGCCTTTTCAAACTCAAATGAATCTATCGCAGAGAGAAGTCAAACCCTTGTGAACAATGTGGCAAGGGCTTTAATAATCAACACTTTCTAGCCTCCAAAAATATTTATACTGGGGAGAAACACTACAAATGTGAACGAATTGATAAGGCTTTTAAAGGCTCTTCATCTGTTAGCACAAAGGTATTGGTACTGAAAAGAAACCTTACAATGGTAAAGAATATTATGAAGGTTTCGTTTATCATTCCGCCCTTGCTTAACATCAGAGAATTCACACTTGGGATGATCTCAACAAATGTGCAGAATATAGCCAGGTGATTAGCTATAATTTGTCATTGCATAAGCATGAAAGAGTACTCTAGAAAGGCAAAGTATGTGGCAATGTCTTTAGCAGTTTTTCATACTTTAAATGTCCTCAGAGACTTCATACTGGAAAGAATCTACACATAAATATAATGTGTCACACACTTTAATATTTCAAATCTCAGTCGACACCAAAGATTTCCATAAGCGTCATTATTCAACTTCACACCTCTGCATTTTCTAGGGGAATCTCAGCTGTGTGGTTACCTAGATCTGAGTGGCTTAGGGATGTGTCTATGGAATGTTGGATGGATACTGACTTATGCCCAGTCCCACCCCTGGGCAGGTGGTCCTCAGTAAATGAGAATTCTGACCAAGCAGAAATCCAAGGGAGCAAGCCAGTAAGCAGAATTCCTCAGTGGCTTCTACTTTACTTTTTGCCTCAAGGTTTCTCCCTTTGGCTGAATTGGCTGATTAATTCCTAAACTGGAATAAACCCTTTCCTCTCCTAAGTTATGTTTTAGTCATGGCATTTATCACAGCAACAGGCATCAAAGTCAGACAACAATGGACATGGAAGGCTTTTCAGTTTCTTTATACCTTGATTATAATCAGAGTTTATACTGGGGAGAATGTCACAATGTCTTCTAGAGTGGAGAATCAGACCCCTAGCATCAGCTAAGAACATCTGAGACCTATAGCAGAGACTTTCCTTTGCTGTAATCTACAAACCTATTCTTTTAGACAATGTTTTCAAGGTATATCAGTTGATTGTTCTAACTATAAATGTTTCCAGAAATTGTTACCATGTTGTCAGACTATACTTGGGTAACCTGAATCTAGATTCCTGAGCCATGATCTATATGGCGATTTCTCCCTTGGGGTCCCCCAATTGTGTAAGTAACCCTTTCCCTTTGGTCTGTAAAAGAAACCCAATAAATTCACTTTTCTCATCAACTTGGGCTGTCGTGAAATACTAGGATGGTTTGTTGTTGGGTCCTTTTGTAGTGACCAGGTATTTGTGTCTAGAGATAGCTAACAATACATGTCATTCATATATGGCTCCAAAATAAACAATGTCTCATTCCCTTTCAGGTGAGAACTGTGGTTTTTGTATAACAACACAATCCCTGTTTTCGTGGAAATAGAACCGGATTGAAGCAGGGATACAAGCCACACATACTCATTCAGCAGATAGGGTGATTTGGTTACTGGCTACTTCTTCAAGTATTAATTATGGAAGTTTCAGACACATACACACACACACACACACACACACACACAGAGGCATATAAAAATTGAGTTTACTTGGAGACAGTATAGAAATTTTCATAGCAACATGATTTACATTTGTTCTTTAATTTTTTTTTTTTTTTTTGAGCTATTGTCTGCCTTTATGGAGAAAATAGATAATCACCATCTATGTCACCTCATTCTGATGCCAGCTGACATTTTCTATCTTAGGTCATTTTAAAAACGGTTTTCTCGTGTTGTAATTGTTACAGGAAAGAGTTACATTCAGTTTTACAGGAGAATCTTGACAGACTGACTCCCTGAAGTTATCAGAAAAACTGTACTGAAGACACACCAGTACTCTTTGAAAAGAGGCAACACTAAGAAGCATCCTAACCACAGTACAAGGTCTAGTACAGGAGAGTTAATTTGTCCTTATTGACCCACCAATTACAAAGTTCTTTATTGAGGTCTAGATGACTCACTGGTTAAAATAACTTGCCTCTCATACAGGGAACCCATGTTTGGTTTATAGCACCCATATGTCTGCTCACAGCTATCAACACCAGTTGCAATGGATATGACTCCCTCTCCCTCTTCTGGGCACTGCATACATACAGCACATTGACATCTTCCCTTCCCTGAAGTTACATCAACATGGGCCTCTGTGGCTTTCAAGTTTAATGATTGGTAAAAGTAACTGAACTACCTATGTATGACAAGAAAAGAAAGGGAGGTTTGGAAGAAAGGTCACTGTTCAGAATTCCTCTCTAGTATTCATGGAGAAGACAAGTGGAAGATGTAGGGTTAGCCCCACCTCATCTAATCTATAGTATCTTAACCATGTACTCTTCCCATCCCTTCTCAGATTTCTCCACTGGGACTACCTTCCCTTCTCTCTCCCAACTCAGTAAGTTGTTAAAGAGTACTGAGTCCATTGCCTGTGGCCTGTGTATGGAGTTTCATGGCACAAATGACTGCAGTATGGGAAGCTTCTCAGGCTAACACTATGTTCCCTGCACCCACCAATTGCCAGCAATTCCACAGCTGAGCTTAGTAATTCACAAGCCCCTCATTGGTCCATGCAGTCTGGCTGTCCTTGTCTTGTACAGGTGTTGGGAATGTAGTTACAACTGCTGTGAGCTAATTTCTTCAGTGACCTTGTTATTTTTAGTAGATACTGTTTTGCTGAAGACATCTAATAGCTCTGGCTCTTCGAGGCTTTCCAACCCCTCTTCACTTACCCATTCTCATAACAAGAAATTTCTGCTAGATAGCTCATAGACCCTAAGAGAAAACCAACTACTATTATTGTGTTAAGTGGACATAGTATTAAACCAACTCCTAATAACTGACAATTATGTCCGAGGGTTAAGACATTTCATCCATCATCAGTGAAATTTCTGGTTGCGGTAGATCATGATCAGCACAGATCCCCAATGGCCAACATGCAGAGAGAATAAGTGACTCTAATTTCCACTACTAAATTGAACATTTATGCCCCACCCTCTCCTCTAAAGGTTTAGGAATTATTGTGGTGGAGGGGATAGGAAGAGTGTGAGAGTCAGAGTCAGTGAATGACAATGCAGCCATGTCTTTTGGGCACACAGAACAGCTACACATACAAACTCACAGGGGTTTTGATGCCATGCCAAGACTGCCACAGTAAACCAAACTAAATTCAAGCACAGGGCAGTTGGCCACAAAGTTCCACCACTAGCCAAGGTCCTCCGGGAAATTCCTAACTCCTGAGTGGGTGCTAGAGGGAGAAATAACTTAAGTCGGAAGATTAAATGTAGCCAAGAATGCATGAGGAACAAATAACAACTCTACAATACAAGTGAAATGTTATATAAGCAGTTTGGCTAACAGATTATAGCATAAAATAGGACCAGTCTCGTTGCTGGCCTTGGTCCCCAGCTGTTGATGCAGACCATCTAAACATCTCACTCATGAGGACATGGATATGACATTTCTGCTCTGAGCCAGTCTTCCCTTTCTGCTTCAGCTGCACTCAGTGTTAAAGCTTTGCCTCTCTCTTGACCTTAGGAGCAGCTCCTTCTCGATATTGGTTTGGGGCTTATTATCAATACAGACTGTTGTTCTTTTGCTGCGCAGCTAATGCCTAAGAAACACAAACACGAGACTCAGCGCCCACGTGGAGTTTATTGAGAGAGGGGAGAGAAAGAGGGGGTAGCTGGTGGCCAACCGAAAGCAGGAGAGGGGGGGGGGGGACCAGAGAGAGAGCAGAGGCAGAGAGAGGCAGAGAGCAGAGGCAAAGAGAGAAGCACTTGGCGCGCTTGCTTTAAAAGAGGCTTGCGCATGTGTAACTGAGTCCTCTGGCCACCAGGTAAAGCTGACATAGCGATGACACAGCCATGAGTGTCCCGCCCATCGTTGGGGCGGGGGTCAGCTGGCTGCTAGTTCCTAACACAGACTCTACCTGTATTTTTTAATTAATTTTTATTTAATTTAAAAACAACCTTATTTTACATACCAATCCCAGTTCCCTCCCCCTTCTGTCTTCCCATTCTCCCCCCATCAACCCACCATCCACTCCTCAGGGAGTGTGAGGGGATCATCAGAGTGTCACATCATTTGGTGTAGAGCCTAGGCCCTCCCCAATATGTCTAGGCTGAGAGAGTATCTCTCCATAGGGATAAATACTGGTTCCACTGGCAGAGGCCCCATAGACTGCCCAGGCCTCCCAACTGACACCCAAGTTCAGGGGGCCTGGTTCAGTCTTGTGGTGGTTCCGCAGCTGTCAGACTAGGGTCTGTGAGCTCCCTCCTGCTCAGGTCATCTGTTTCTGTGGATTTCCCCTTTGCTCATCACTCCTCCCTCTCTACAACTGGATTCCAGGTGTTCAGCTCAGTGTTTAGCTATGGGTGTCTGCTTCCATCAGCTACTGGATGAAGGCTCTAGGTTGGTATTTAAGGTAGTCATCAATGTCATTATCGGGAAAAGGCATTTAAAGGTAGCCTCTCCACTATTGCTTAGATCCTTAGTTGGGATATCGTTGTGGATCCCAGGGCAGTTCCAGGGTGCTCTGCTTTAAAGGAACTGGACACAGTAAATATTTGACAAATCCTTGTGAGAAAACTAACTACAAACCAGTTCTTTTTAAGGGACGATAGAATCTGACATCAGAATTTAAAAAAAAAAAAATTGATAATGATAGTCACGAGAGTGCTACAGGTCCATAAACACAGGAGAGTAGGGATTTTCTGGAAAAGTTTGAAAGGGTGCCAGCCCTTCTAAATCAAGAGGTTAAAGTAAGAGAATGCAGCAGAAGACTGAGCAACCATGGGAGTCGAAAGAGTCACCCAGGGTCCAATATCAGTACTTAGGGTTAGGGAAAATTAACAAAGAAATGGAACATTTCTGAAATAGGCTGTTACAGCTTGGAGAAGTCACTTTGTTATGCAATACATATGTAACCCTGCGTTGCTCATAGGTTACCTCTTCTTTGTGATGAGAAAATGAATAGATTGTCTTTACATTGAACAAAAACTGCCACAATGATAAAGGGGTATAAGTTTAGTCACTGCACCAACTCTCAAAATGATTTATAGTGTTAAAATAAGTAAACTAAAAGGGGTTGGCCAAGAAATTATTTATATTAGGAAAAGGGAGAAACAATCTTGATACTAAACATTGCATTATAACAGCATGAACAAAATGCAAAAAACACAAAGTCAAATGAAGATTGAAAACAAAATATCGAGGCACAGTGGACAGCTCAGTGGGAAAAGATGCTAGCCACACAAGCTGTAAAGCATAGGTTTGAACAAGGGACAGCACAGAAATGCGGGAGGAAATAATTGACTCCACAAAGGTGTTCTTAGTCTTCCACGTGCACATTGTTGCACAGCTATTCCCACATACAACCACGGCTGCCGACAAATAACATTTTTAAAAATAAAAACAAAATGTCCTAAAATTAGGAAGGAATTGTAAGCATCTTACACTTGACTGGTTTCAGGAAAGATATGCTCAAACCTTGGAATGGGAAGTGAACAGTTAGTCCTTAAATGAAATGTGCTCAGTGGGCTTTGGGTTGGACTTTGTAGAATTCTGCACATTTCTGTCCATTGGGAACAAGTAAAGGCCATTTCTACATTGAGGTATTGTAACAAATAAACGGTGTGATGTGACCACCCCTGCTGTAAGGTGACTTTCAAACTAAATAGCTGTTCACTTGATGAGAACTAGAATCACAGAGGAGACATGTTTCTGGGGATGACTAGACAGTTTTTAAAGTCAGTTACTGAGTCAAGAAGACTGTAAATGTGGCTGGCACTGTGCTAGTTAGTGTTTTCACAGCTTGATAGGAACTGTCATCTAGAAAGGGAAACTGTTATGGGATGTTTGTACACTGGGTGAAGGCATACTCAAAATCTTAGGCAATTAATGGAATGATTAGCTCCAAACAAGGAAACCTAGTTCTCCATAATGAGGCAACAGGAAATGTCCCCTAGACCACATCCATGAAAGCCTATCTTGTGAAAGTGAAAACCCATCTGAAAGGTGAAAGTCCAGTGTGGGAGTAACATGTAAGGAGTTCCTTTTTTAAAACCACTCTTTTGGGGAAAGTTTCATCAAGGTCGTCAAAGAAAACAGGGACTTTGGTCTAGGGATCAGGCAACATCCAAAGATAGATGGCAGCAATGTCCATGTGCTGTTGCTTTGTAAACCCTTAAGAAGCAACTCCAGGGGAGCCA